ACCAAAAAAAAAAAAAAAAAAAAAAAAAAAATACCAAGCAGAGGCGCTTCTCGGCAGCAACCAGGGCGTGTCCCTTGTCACACCCTTCTCCATACGAACTTCCTCCTCCCTCCTAGGATCTCCTTCCATGCACCGCCTCCCCCTCCCAGGCGCCCAGGTTGGCTACATCGGGCACTGCCTGCCTCCACCCTGGGAAGAAATCAGCATACCTGAATACTAGGCAGCTCTCATAGTACACATAAGGGATGATCTCACATCATGAGAGCTTGCTGAGTGCAGTCAAGGTTCGCGCTTTAGCAGAGTGCAGTCCAAGGCTCGCTTTAGCTGAGTGCAGTCAAGGCTCGCTTTAGCTGAGTGCAGTCGAAGGCTTGCTTAAACACGAATTGGTTGGGCTTAAAGAATTAGCCTAAAAAAAAAAAAAAAAAAAAAAAAAAAAACCATGTTCTTCGTCAGAAGGAGATCAGCAATGATCTCGCATGATGAGTGCTTGCTGAGAGTGCAGTCAAGGCTTGCTTTAGCTGAGTGCAGTCAATGCTTGGCTTAGCTTACTGCAGTCGAGGCTTGCTTCAGCTTATTGCAGTCAAGGCTTGCTTCGGCATAGCTTAGTGCAGTCTAGGCTCGCCAGAGTCAGATCAGCAATGATCTCGCGTGATGAGAGCTTGCATGATGTAGTCCAAGGCTCGCTTTAGCTGCGTGCCGTCGAAGGCTTGCTTTAGCTGCGTGCCGTCGAAGGCTTGCTTTAGCTGAATGCCGTCAAAGAGTTTGCTTTAGCTGAGTGCAGTCAAGGCTTGCTTTAGCTGAGAACAGGCAAGGCCTAGACTGAAAAATTGCCCCAAGTACAGCGATAATGACCGGGAGTAGCGTTAGGTATAATCCTGCAGAATGGCCAACTTGGAAATGCATGGGCTTGGGGATTAAATGAAAGCTCTGTGACACCTCCCAAACAACCTCCACACGTTGTGAAAGAACACACGAACACTGCCTATACACAACCACCATCATTTCTTTAACATACTAGATTCTTCAATTCTCTCTCTCTCTCTCTCTCTCTCTCTCTCTCTCTCTCTCTCTCTCTCTCTCTCTCTCTCTCTCTCTCTCTCTTCTCTCTCTCTCTCTCTC